AGAAAAAGAGAGAGATTTATACCATTAACATACCTTAGCCTTAAATTATTGGATAAATAATTTTAATAATTTTAATACTTTTTTAATAAAAAATTTTTTTAAATTATCACATTTAATTTTTAATTTAACCGGAATACTAAATACAATGAATATTACTTAGGGAAAACAAAACAAAAAAAAATTTATTTTTAAATATAAAGAGTAAAAAAGTTAAATATTTTTAAAATGGTATTAAGTAATTATTTTATTAATTTTAATATACAAATCAAAATTAAAGAAAAAAAAAACACATTAATGTAATTGGAAGGAAGTATAAATTAGTCCAATTTGCTTTTCTTCCTATAAAAGAAGTTAATGATATTTCCCAATAAATATCCAAAAAGTGGCAATTTTTAGGTGGGTTGTGAAAGAAAAAGAGGAAAAAAAAGAATGGAAAGATTAAGAATAGTTGGATATGAACCAACATTACATGTAAAATATCTTAGACAACGGTTGTCGTTTTTAATTTCTTCAAAAACCATTGGTTATAATTATAAAATGATGAAAACCGGGAACTTATGAAATTGCTTTTTAAGGCGTGGTTTTGAAAGAGCGAGAATTTTGGCAGCAATAAAACAAAACAAAAATTTATACTAAAATTTGTTTTAAAAAAATATAATAAACAAAAAAAACAATATTGAATTTTTTAAAATATCCTTTTCAAAAAGTTTCAAATCAGCCAATTGCTTAATTTTCAAATCAAAAACTGCAATTTTTTGATTTAAAAAATAAAAAAAAATGAAAAATAAAAAAAACAAATCATTAATACTAATTATAATGTTTAACTAGTTTGAAATTAAAATCATTATTTTAATGCCGACTTTAAATTTGTATCGATTTCTACTCAATTTTAATTTATTAATTTCGATTCGTGAATTATCATTGCAAAATCCATAATAATTCGCTTACTTTCCCTCCATAATAATAACTCTTTCTACTCCACATTATCTTCTTCTTTCCTTTAAAATAAGTAAATATAATTGTGTCAAGGCCCTTTAAAAAGTAAGAAGTATTTCTAATAAATTAAGGGAATCAACATAGAAAAATCTAAATATTACTTAAAAAAATCTAAAATATTTATATATAATAAATAATAATAAATAATAATTAATAAATAATAATATATAAATCGGAACTAATGAGATGTTTGGTAGTGAAGAAGCGTAATAAACAGCAGTCAAGCGGTGGCTCCGGAGCCGGAAAGTAGTCCAATAAACGCTTACAGTGAAAAAAAGTTGTTTGTCTTTCCTTCTTCTTCTTTCTTCTGCAAAATATATATGAAACACCGAAAGTGGGGGTTTTGGGTTTTTTGTTTTAAAATCACAAGGCCTTCTAAGACGAAGCGGCAAGGTTTTGTTAGACCATAATAGAATGGTAAAATATTAATAAAAAATAATTAATAAAAAAAAAATAACCACTTTCGTACCATTAAAAAATGTTAATAGAATAGTAATCTATATAAAATATTAATAAAAAAAAATAACAAAGTTATTGAGACCTTTTTTTTTTTTAAATTAATATGAGAGAACTCATCTGACTGAAAAATAAGACATAACTATCTAATAATTCTTTATTGAATTTAAAGAAGGAACTTGATTAACAACGAGGACAGTGGATCAAAGCTTTAGAAAATACTAACCTTCAAATAATCTTCAAATGTATCCTTGGTATTGCTCAATCTTTACCCTTTTATGCCTCTACTTTTTATTTTGATTCCATAACTTGTGCATCCAACCCACACTTCTTCTTCTTCTTTTTCAACTTGAGAAGAGTAAAAATTCTCCTCAACTGTGGATCTGCTGGAAAATCTGTATCATTCATGGAAAAAATTGGACTGGTGATAAGAGGCTCCAAAAGTTTATGCCTCCAGATTTATTGAGAGATCAACACAATTTCTGTAGCTTCAAGTCCATTAATTGTTGTGCCTTGAAGTTCCATATTCTACTGCACGCGTATTCCCATACTCGCACTTTTCCGTATGGCTTTCTTCCCTCCCCTTTTCTTCGCCGGAATTCAAATTCATCCGGCCCTTCACCTTTTATCCATCGTCAAGTTACTTTAACGCTCGTTTTTTTTTTTTCAGGTGGTTTCTCCTGGCCAATAACACCTCTTTTAACAACATTCAGCCGCTCAATAATTATGGCTGAGGACCTTTACAAATCGCCTTATTTTAAACAAAAAAAGAATTTTGGTTGTTTACTTGAAAAGATAACATATTGGATATCTTCTTTTATCCCATCATCATCACCCAGAGGAAGCTTATGCCCTTCGTCAATGGAAATAGAAATCTACAACTTTCCATGCCAATTTCTCCAATTATGCAGCCCGTTTTTAGTCCGTAAGCCAGCCTTCGAGGAATACATTCATAGAGTAAATTATGCGTACAGGAAGTGAATTATCTGAACAAAAAAAGAACAAGTTGGCAATGGAATAGATGACTCCAAGCCTTCAAATTTTTGGTAATTCTCCCTAACTACAGGCAGTCTCATTTATGCATATGAACGATAAGGTAAACTTTGGGGATACATGTCTGAGGTATGCTGGCACCCACGTATTTCTCTGTACGAACTCAGCCCGCATAATGGGCAGTGGATGATTGCTGTTAACCTTGAGCTAAATAAACAACCTCCACATGGGAGATTCCCCTTGTCGAAACGCGGGTTTCAAAATATCTTGTTTTTAGGGGCAGGGCCTTCATCTTTGTGAGATTTCTTAATGACGTAACAGAAGGTTTTATCCAGAGAGTGTTTACAGTTTTATAAGTTAACAATAGACGGTGGAGAAAAAAGTTTTTTGAAACCGTAATTGCTCTCTGGCTGGAGCTCCCATTCGTTGTTGCATTTTCAAAAGAACTAATGTGGTTATGGTTCCAGAAGAAGAGAACAGGAGAAACGAATCAGAAATTGTGGCTAGCCTTTGCATCCAAAATTCAAAACAGTCAAAGCCCTAAATTTCCAGAATGCAAATTTTAAATGGAGTTGGAAGAATCATAAAATCGTGGATGCCAAACAACAACCTGCTTCATCCAAGCTTCCAACAATCAAAGAATTGAAAACACGCAAAACCGAACAAGAATTCGGACGACTCATTATGAATAATCAATCGGGGCCGGATGCGTTTGGCTAGTTTGTTCTGGTGGGTACTTTTAATTTTTATATGTTTTTCAAAGTACTTTAACCGGCGGAAGAAAAAAAATGAATTTCAGATGAACCATTCAAAAGTAATCAGCTATAAAGCTATACCATCAACCTGGCTCTGTTACCATTTAAATTGTCAGAATCAAACTCGCCATACCAACAATTTTAAGTGAAGCTCTAGTGATCGGTGGAGGGTGTTTTGGTAAAGTTTTACAGAGGTTTCAAATAAATGGAGGTCCACTCAAGTTGCCTAATAAAGAGAAAAGGTACAAGTCTCACAAACAAGGGATGCCAGGAAGTTTCTAAACTGAAAAATTGAATTTTGCTTATCCACATTATCACAATGAACTTAGTCCTCATTCTTGGTTTTTGCTAAGAACACAAAATGAACTAATTCTAGTCTAACGAGTTACAATGCCATGTGGCACTCCTCCGCGATCATCTGTACATGCCATGTGGCACTCTCCGCGATCATCTGTACAAGGGAAGTAACAATCCACCATTGTCATGGAATCAAAGGCTCAAGATTTGCATTGGTGCAGCTCGAGGATTACATTATCTTCATTGCGGAACAAAGAATTCGATTATTCACCGCGACATTAAGTCAGTCTACCAATATATTGTTAGATGAAGAATGGATGGCAAAGGTCTCAGATTTTGGGTTGTCAAGGTTAGGCGCCATTACAGCATCAACCAGCCATGTTAAAACTCAAGTGAAGGGTACGTTTGGGTATTTAGACCCAGAATACTACAGAACTAGAACACTGAGCAAGAAATCAGATGTTTATTCTTTTGGTGTAGTGTTATATGAGGTACTATGTGCAAGACCAGCTGTGTTGGTGGAAGAAGAGGAAGGTAAGGTTAGTTTAGCTGGATGGGCTCTGGAATGCAGTAGAAATGGTACCATTAATTGCATAATTGATCCTTCTTTGAGAGGAAAGATTGCTACTGCTTCTCTCATTGCATTCGTGGAAATTGCAGTAAAATGCTTATCAGTTCCGCGAACCCAAAGGCCAGCCATGGGAGATGTGGTTCATAGTCTGGAATTAGCATTACAGGCACAAGAAAATGAGGATTGGAAAGAGGAAGTACAGAGAGTTAAGGGACGAAGAATTGATATCACTTGTTTTCTCTTGTTTCCAAATTATTGTTGATTGTAAACAAGCTAGAAACCAGTGCAAGCACCAATAGAATTCAAAATTCAATCTACTCAACATCTACGTATTTTCTCTCTGTTTTCCCTTCCTAGATCTTGTTCTCTTTCTCTTCTCCTTTCCCATTTTTTCTTCTTTCTCTTCTCCTTTCCCATTTTTATTTTTTCTGTGCCTTCTTGTTCTTTCGGCTAGTCTTCTATTTTATGGTTTAAATTTTAAATCAATAATGGAGGATGAAGATGCAATACTCCTACTTATGGAGAATCGATTCAGGAATCTAGAGATCTGCAATCGGCTATGAGGTCTCCAGTAAAGCAAAATAAGAAAGAAAATTATACCATTCCATGTACAAGAAATTATTGATGTCCAGGAAGATCTGAGCAAAAGCATGAGTCGAATGTGAAGCATCTTGAAGGAATTTAAAGATCCGATATTCCATTCGAATGTTTCGATTAGAGACGGTAGCTATGATCCAGAATCCAAAGCAATTCGTGTTCTTCAATTCGTGATGTTGATGTGAAATTCCCAAATAGTAGAAATTACGATATAACGTGGAACAAATCTGGTTTTGTTCAAGAGAAATTAAAACTAGATTTTTTCTGAAACCATATTTATTCTTTGTTCTTGGGAGTACTTTGGGTGATGAGGCAAGTAAGAAAGATATTGGAGATTTATATGGAAAAACATGGTTCCACAGGTGTGCTGATCATCAAATTAGGTGGCAGCATGTGGTTTTGGCGATGCTTAAAGAAGATGAACCGGAGATTTAGACGGGATAGAAGAATATAATTCTCTGTCAGAGAAAGATGAAGGTGCTTGTGAAAATGCCGATATGAAATTCAAGATTAATAAGTGCTCTAATAACACCTTGCTCATGAGTTGAGGCAGGACTAGAATGGGAATGATATGATGGACAAGGGTAAATATTATGGTTTTGCTTGGTTGCGTCTGACAAAATACTTCAAGTGGTCATTACTAAGCATGCATGAGTTTAAATTGCTACTCTTCTCTCATTGCATTCGTGGGAATTGCAGTAAAATGCTTATCAGTTCCACGAACCCAAAGGTCATCCGTGGGAGATGTGCTTCATAGTCTGGCATTGGCGCTACAGGTACAAGAAAATGCGGATTGAAAGAGGAAGTAGAAAATTAAGAGACTATAATTGATATCACTTTTTTTCTTTTTCAATTTTTATTGTTCTATTAAGCCAGATATCCATTCAATAGTGTTTCTGTAATGTCTTGCATAATTTATTCTGATTTTTGGCAGATTCGTCTGTGACAGTTAAATTACTCTAGACAGCAAAGTGATTTTGACAGGATAACTTGTGCTATTAATAAATAATTATTTATTTTTCATATGATGTACTAAGGACATAATAATTAATAATACACTTGTAATATCTAAATGTTTAATGTGATTTTTGTTCTTGTCTTTTTTAGCTCGTGTTGATGCTTTTTTTATTCATATTATTTTCTGTTTGTTAAGAAGATTATATTCATTGTCCTCAATAAGCATACACTCCTCTCTTTTTTTTTTTTTTCTCAATAAGTTTTTCTTTATCTAAGAATATTGCAGCCTGGAATCAAAGTTTCACTTCCTCAGTTTATTTAGTAATGTCTCTTTCCTTGTGAGACAACAAGAAATTTCTGAAATGGTGATGGAAAACTCGGTCATTTATCTTTTGGGTTGTTTCTGTTTATATTTCCTTCTGATTCTTGGCAAGTTTCTTCACAAACAGTGGTTGGTGCCAATTTGCATACAGTCAATAATGAGGTCACAAGGAATAAAAGGCCCTTCTTACAGATTCCTCCATGGGAACACTAAACAAATAGCCAAAATGAGAAAGGAAGCAATTTACAATCCTATGGAATTGTCACATCACATACTTCCAAGAATTCAACCACACATTTATTCTTGGATGAAGCTCTATGGTAATATTAACCCTTTTGTTTTTTGAATTTCAATTAAAAGTCTAATTAATGCCCCTAATTTTATTGATTATGCAGGAATGAACTTTCTTCTTTGGTACGGTGCAAGAGCTCAACTGACAGTTACAGAACCTGAACTGGTTAAAGAGATTCTGAACAATAAAGAAGAAACATATTGCAAAATAGGGTTCCAAGATTACATTAAGATGGTATTAGGAGATGGACTTGTGTTATCCACAGGCGAAAAATGGCTGAAGATGCGTAAACTTGCTAATTATGCTTTTCATGGAGAAAACTTGAAGGTAATTACTTCCTTTTTATGTTATTTAAGTTGAACTTTAAGGTTTTTATTATGAAGAAAATTAATAGATTTTCCTTGCAGGGTATGGTTCCCGCAATGCTAGCAAGTGTGGAAATGATGGTTGAAAGATGGAGACATCACGACGGAAAGGAGATTGAAGTATTTCAAGAATTCAAGGTTTTAACATCAGAAATAATCTCAAGAACAGCTTTTGGAAGCTCCTATTTGGAAGGAGAGGAAGTATTTGATATGTTGAAGAAGATGATCTTCATTGTTGCAAGAAACCACTATAAAGTGAGAATTCCTTGTCCAGGAATTAAGTAAGCTTTCTTTCCCTACTCCTTTTAAGTCACTCTTAATTTGGGAATTGTATGCAATTCTTGGAACAGGATTTCATATTTTTCATATTGGTTCATAAGAAATCTTTTTTTATTTTTTATTTTTTTGATATTTCTATATTTGACGAGGACTTCAATAAAATCTATTTTTAATTAGAATTCTAATATAACAAACAAATTTTATTAATTCTTTTGAAAAATAAACTTGCTATTTTTTTGGTATTGAAACATCCACTATTTATTGTTTCAGAAGATTTCTGAAAACAGGGGATGAACTTGAATTGGATAAAATCCAAAAAGAGATAAGAGACACCATTATCAATATGATAAAGAAAAGAGAGAAAGCAACAATGATGGGTGAATTGGATGGCTATGGTAGTGATTTTCTTGGATTACTTATCAAAGCTTATAATGATCCTGATAAGAATAAGAGAATATCTATAGATGACATGATTGATGAATGCAAGACTTTCTATGTCGCTGGACAAGAAACTACTGCAAGCTCACTTACTTGGACAGTTCTTCTTCTAGCAATTCACACAGATTGGCAAGATGAAGCTAGAAAAGAGGTCCTTGAACTATTTGGCCAGCAGAATCCAACTGCTGATGGGGTTGCAAGATTGAAAACTGTAAGTAAACCTTAGCTAGGGGCAAGCATTGGTCAGTTTGGATAATAAAGACTGAAGAAAACCAAAATAACTGAAATTTCATTAAAAAAATATCATTTCAGTCCTTTTTTTTTTTCTTTTGAACCAAATTGTGCTCGCCTTTAGTATTATCTACTAACTAAATTTATGAACTTGTTTGGGATGACACAAATTTATTTTCTCCAATGTTTTTCTCCTTTGCAGATGAATATAATCATTAATGAATCTCTAAGGCTATATCCTCCAGTCTTTCATGTAACAAGGGAAGTCCAAAGAGAAGTCAGACTGGGGCAACTAAATATTCCAAACAAGATAGAAACATATATTCCAACACTAGCACTTCACACAGACTATAAAATATGGGGAGAAGATGCTTATCTTTTTAAACCAGAAAGATTTGCAGGAGGAGTGGCTAAAGCTACTAACAACAGTGTCTCTTCATTTCTTCCTTTTGGTTTGGGACCCAGAACTTGTGTTGGCTTGAACTTTGCAATTACAGAAAAGAAAATTGCTCTTTCAATGATTTTGCAGCGCTACAAGTTCACTCTCTCCCCTTCTTATGTACATTCACCTGTTCAAATTCTCACAATGTGTCCACAACATGGAGTTCAGGTCATTCTTGAGGCATTGTGAAGTAGAAAACGAATTTGCATTTTTTTTTTTTTTTTAAAGTATTGAGGGAAGGGATTCAAATATAAATTTATTTTTAAGTCGTATATATATATACTTACCATTAGGTTATGTTTTGGTGTGCAGGAATTTACATTTATGAATGTGGAATACCAGACTATGTGTTGGTGCACAGGAATTTGCAGGAATTTGCATTTATGAATGTGGAATATAATACACACCAACAGTACCAGCACACACTGCACCTGATTTAGTTAGTATACGGCACTGCTCGTTTCATGGGTTTTGATCCTAGAATCTTAGTATACGGCACTGCTCGTTTCATGGGTTTTGATCCTAGAATCAATTTACATTTTAACTTAAGTTGGTTTTTTCCTGTTGAGACCGGATTTTTATATCTTGTCAGGCTCCATTTCTGTGAGCTTGATAGGAGTATAACAAAAATAAACCAGAAGGTATTTTCTATATATATGAACGAAGAAACGGCTCAGGGTCAAGCAGATGTTATTGCGTGGAGCGGTGGGCAAGGTGTTCCAGTCTACAAAGACTATGTCGTAATGATCCCACTGGGAAAAGAAGGGATTCAGAATCTTTGGCTTGACCTGCACCCTAACACAGAAACCAAGCCTCAATATTATGATTCTTTCTTAAATGGAATAGAGATATTCAAATTAAACAATTATGGTGGAAATCTTGCTGGACTTAATCCTCCTCAAATGCAGAATCAGGAGGGATCTTCTGTATCATCATCAACCAGTTCAAAGAAAAGACTAGTCAAAATTATTGTGTCATGGCATTTATTATAGTGTGCTTTCTTGCTTTCTGGATCAGATTAGCCAAGCAAACAAAAAAGAAAACGAACAAGTATGTATTGATTTTGTAATTTAAATAATTCAATTATTCTAATTTAAATAAGAAGTCATACCTTCAACTTTGTTCAGTTTAGTTCTTGTCTGAGCTTTTAGTATTAAAAAAAAAGAAAAAAAAAAAGTGTGTTCATGGCTGCCACCATTTATGACAAGCTGTCATGCCTTCCGTCTACTTTCAGCAATACATTGGAGATGTTTAAAAAGAGAGAGTAATTCTAAGGCTTCATCCACTATCGCTTCATCCACTATCCTTAATTTATGTTAATCCATTCCCATCTTTCACAAGTCAATAAAATTAATTTATCATATTAATTTTCTATGTGATTATTATTTATTAATACATTTTGAGTAGGCTGTTGAACAAAAGTCCGTCAGCGTTTGGGTCGGTGAGAGGATTTTTAATTATTTATTACTATTTCCTATTCAACAACCTTAATTAAAATTTCCCTTTATTTTCTTAGATTTTTTTTTTTTTGGAGAAATCATTTTCTACTTTCTGAGTGGTTATTGTTAAACTTTTTGTATGACCCATTTTAAGAATTCAATGGCCTATAGCCTAAACCAAGTAGCCAAGGTTTAGACTGAGTTGATTACCCACCCATGAATCAAATCAATAGAAATAAAAACTTTTATTAAAATAGGGTATTTCTGACTATAAATTAAAAATAAAATAAAAATTTTTTAAAAATTCTTATTTACTTTTATTAAAATAGGGTATTTCTCTTTCATCATCTAATAACTCCATATAAAGCATTGAACTGATAAGATTATCAATGCATATGCTCAGACATTTATTTTGTTTTTACCTCATCAATTAACAAATCATATTCTTCCAAGTGTCTTAATGATTTATGAGACATAAATAATCATATGTCACTTAATTTTCCTTTAACTTGATTTTTTAAGCTACACTTTATTATATTTAGAATCAAATGAAATTGAGACATTCAAATTACAATTAAATTAAGTAACAATTAAATAAGTCATATTTTTTATACTTGAAAATTAATTCTACATATAAATTTCACTACGCTAATAAGTGCATTAAAGAATAATTAGGTTGTGAAATACATAAAAAAATCGTGAATATTTTCTAGAATTTTGTGTATATAAAGATTGTTAAATTAGATGAATTAAAAATTTAATCATGAATTAGAAAATAAGAATTATTGTGATAGGAAATGTCCACTGAACATATATTGGAAATTTAACCACCAAACACGAAAATAAGCATTTTGTTTACAGGTTGAGTGGCAAAATGGTGAATAAATAGTAAAAAAACAAACAAACAAAGTTTTGAACCCATGACTTACACATAATTAATGACTTTACAAGTATTCTTTGCCACTAGACTAACTTCATTTAAACTTGTTTTATATTTTATTAAGTCACATTTAACAATTAAATTAAATTAAGAAATTCAAATTGAAATTTAATGATGTAACAATTAAATAAATCATTTTTGTTCACACTTGAATTAAATTAAATTTAGATAATCTAATCCAAATTAAATTACGTTACACCTAAAATAAAATTAAACTAAGTAACTATTGATTATGTCACACTTGAAAGTTATAACTCAGATGACATATAAACACACATTTTTGACATGAGGATAAGTAAAATCTCATGATTAATCCTTGTACAAATCATTTTGACATGTATTATACATTTTCTTATGATAAGTCTATAGAAAGTTCTCTACATATAAATTTTAATGTATATAGATAAAGAAAAAAACTTGGATGGTTAATTTACACCTATTAAATCATATTTAAAAATTAAATTAAATTAAGATATCTAAACTAAAATTAAATGAAATAACAATTCAGTAGTCACGCTTGAATCAAATTAATTAGGCAATCTAATTTGAATTAAATTAAGTCACCCCTAAAATTAAATTAAAGTAAAATACCCTAATTGAAATTAAATCAAGTAGTCATTCTCAAAAAAAAAAAAAAAAAAAAAGTCCATTCCTCAAAAAAAAAAAAAAAAAAAAAAAAATCAAGCAGTTGGATTGGACGAAGCCTCGTCTTAAGAACTAAATTAAATTAAAAGAATCAAATTGCTAAACGAGATTAAGTAACAATTAGTTTAAAGTTGCACTTGATCACAACAATAATTAAATTAAATTTAGTCAAGTTAAAAATTTTCGATTAGGCATGAACAATGTAGGATTCCATACATTAGGCATGAACAATTGTAGGATCCATACTTTGGTTAAAATTTTTATATAGAATTTAGACTTAAAAATTTTTATTAAAAGGATTCATATGCTAGGATTTGTATCCTCTCAAATAAATTAAAAGGACATTCACATAAAGTTTTGTTAAAATTGGATCGGATTGACCGGTCGAACCAGTTAAACCAAAATCAATTGGTTGTTCGATTCCATTATCAACTTGGACCGATTTTTGAAAAAAAATGATTTTTTTTAGAAAATCAGGTTGAACCAGTGATAAAACCGGACAAAACCAGATTTTCTTAATAAAAACTGACTTTTTTTGGAAAAAATTGAATTTTTTTTAGAAAATTGAGCTGAAAATTATTTTGTTGCTATATATATTCACACACATATGTAAAAATATTTAAAAAAATAAAAAATTAAGAATCTAGTTGAACCCGTCCAACTCGATCCAACCTTGATCTGGTCATGATACCGATTCAGTTGTCAGTCTAACTTATAAGTACTTGGGTGTTGTTCAATCCTTATAGAATTCATTTTAGACTTTAAATTTTTATCATGCACATAAATTATTTTGATTAACTTGAATCAAATTAATCATGACCAATAAAAAGGATGATGTCAAAAACAATTCCTTTTAAATTAAAATTTAATGATTGTCATCATTTTCAACAATATATATAATTAATTATATGATAAAGTGAAGTAAAATAATTAATTGTGAGAACCGTATTTAATGCATATATTTTCCTCAAAAATTAAGTTTTTTTCCCTCCCATTTATCCATCCAAAACTACTCAAGATTTTATATGTCATTTAAAGTGTTATGGTCCAGAATCGCCAGAAACCAAATAACACTACTCTTTTATATATATACACGTGTGCGCGTGTAGAATTAATTATACTTAAATACCAAACTTTATTTTCTTACACACAAAATTCATTTTATCTCCCAATTGGCATCATTATCTCAGAAAATTCAACTCCTAGAGTCAAATCCGAGTTACCGGAAATCACTTTCCTATCCTCACTGTTGCCATGAATTTGCAATTCCAGTGCCAACTCTAAGCTCCAAAGCACCTGGCTTATCGATGGCCGATCCAGCCCCTGCTCCGCCAAGCATTTCTGGGTAATCTCCATAAACTTTGCAAGAGATGCTGGTGTAATCTTACCTTCCAAATGAGGATCAATGAGATTTTCCAAATCTCCCTTTTCATAACAATTTAAGGCCCATTCAACAAAACTTACAGCATCTTCATTCTCCTCATTGTCATTACAATTATAATTCACCACAAACTTGGCAGAAAGTACCTCCAACAGAACTACCCCAAAAGAGTATACATCAGATTTATCTGTTAATTTAAGAAGACGACAGTATTCCGGGTCTATATACCCAATACTACCCATAACTTTGGTGCTTCCATTAGTAGGGTCTATTTTAGACAAACCAAAATCTGCAATCTTGGCCACCCAATTCTCATCCAAGAGGATATTGCTGGTCTTGACATCGCGATGGACTATCTGAAACTTCATTCCTGTATGCAGGTAGCATAAGCCCTGTGCGGCTCCAATGCATATATGTAGCCGTTGGTTCCAAGAAAGAGGCATCTTTTGCTGTTCATCAGAAAAATGAAGGTGCTCGAACAGAGTACCTTTAGGCATATACTCATATACCAAGATCATCTCCTGCTCATCACTGCAATAACCCATCAAAGAAACAACATTTTGATGACGGAGTAGAGAGAGTGTTTTGATTTCTGATTGAAATTCATTATGACCTTGTGCCTTATTGCTACGCTTAACCGCAACTGTAGTTGTTTCGCCATCAATATAACCTTTATAAACCACACCAAATCCTCCGGTACCAATTATCCTTCCCTCGTCAAAGTTATTCGTGGCAGCTTTGATCTCCTTCATCGTAAAATAGCGAAATGGTGACTTGTTCTTCTTCTTTGCTCTTTCGTTTGCTACTCGGATCCAGAAAGCAAGGGAGCACACTATAATAAATGCCATGACCAACCCACCAGCTGAGCCTCCAATAATTTTAGCTAGTCTTTTCTTTGAACTTATTGTTGATGATGATATAGAAGATGAATTAACTAGCGGTCCCTCATGATATTGTAATTGAGGATTATTAGGTACAGCAAGATTTCCGCCATAATAGTTTAATCTGAATATCTCTACTCCATTTAAGAAAGATTGATAATATTGAGGCCTGGTTTCTGTGCTAGGGTGCAGGTCAAGCCAAAGATCCTGAATCCCATTTTTTCCCTGTGGGATCATTACGACATAGTCTTTGTAGACAGGAACACCTTGCCCACCGCTCCACCCAATCACATCTGCTTGAGGCTGAGCCGTTTCATTGTTCATATCATTGTTCATATATATAGAAAATACCTTCTTGTTTATTTTTGTCATATTCCTATCAAGCTCACAGAAATGGAGCCTCACAAGATACAAGAATCCAGTCTCAACTGGAAAAAACCAACTTAAGTTAAAATTTAAATTGATTCTAGAATCAAAACCCATGAAACGAGCAGTGCGGTATACTAAATCAGGCGCAGTGTACGCTGGTACCATTGGTGTGTACTTGACCTGAAGACCGTAATCGTATGCTAATTGCCCATCAGCAGCTCCATACAAGTATTGATCGTCTTTTATCCAAGTGCGAAACATCCCTGTATCTGATTTAGGAGAAATGTCATCGCCGCCTACATTTATTCTGTAAACTGTTTCAAGTGCATATGTGGTATCTAGTCTGATAGGATTATTGATAGGATTATAAGGATACCCAATCAAAAGGAAGAGGAACATTTTCACCCGTAAATTGTAGAACTGATTCAAGGCAATTCAGAGGCATTGAAACAAGTTCAATCCCATTCACAAAAGCAAATGCATCAGAAGCATTTGAAGAAGGGCTAAATGTTAGTCGAAGCGAATGGTTTTGCACATGGACTATGAATTCCTTGAAAAAAACGTAAACATTCTTGTAATTTGCAGCAAGAGAAGCGCTGAAATTGCTTAGAAGAGTATGGTCACCTCCTGTAACTGAAAGGAATGCTTTGGAAGCATCAAAACCAGGATAAGAGGTTGGATAGAAGTGAAGACGAAGAAACTTGGGACCTGGTGTTAAATTGAAGGTGTAGGTAAATTCAGAAAAGAAGAGCCTAGCAGTCTTGTAAGGAACTTGAGGGACTCCTGGGCTCAAATGGAAGGATGACCATTTAGATTGTCCGCAGTGGAGTTAGTTTGCCGATTGCGGAGATGAAAGTTGCAAGTCTTATTTAGTCGCAGTTCCGGCCATCAAAGGACGAAGTATGCAAACGCATGAGGATTACCACAAATCCAGTGCAACATTTTCTAAGGGCTTCATAGGAGTAATGCTTGGTGCAAAAACAGATGAGAGCGTTGATGTGGGAATGTGAAATATTCTTAATTATGAAAGATTGAATACAGAGCGAGTTTCATGGTGTGGATTTTTATTTATTTCTACCTTGTCATTTTCAGTGAGGGACAGCTTGGCTGTGAGGTCTGTCTTCTATTAAGGTTATTGGTTCAAGTGCTAATCGCGGTCAACATCACGTCAGCCAATCATTTCTGCTTGAACTATTTCAGCATCTGCCAAGCCAGTTCTATAATTCCATGTGGAGCAATAATTGTGGTTGAACTTATTTGATTGAATGCTTATCGTCTGCTTGAAATTTCCATCCCAAGCCAGCTATAACCAGTGGAGCAAAATGGTAATTATTGATTGAATTCTTATACTTTTTCCCTCCGTTTTCTTGTTCTATTTTTTCTTCCCTGGGTCAATTATTGTTCATTTCCTTCTTCACTAGTAAATATTGAAATTTTATTTTTTATCTTTATTTATTTAATACGCTTCTCTCTCAATAATACATATTCATTAATTAAATCTTGATATAACTAAAATTAAAATATTAATCTTTAATTTTTCACTTATACATTAACTACTTACCTTAATTATTCGATAAATAATTTTAATACTTTTAATAATAATTTAATAATATTTAATTTTTTACCGGAATACTAATACAAAGATATACTAGGAAAAACAAAACAAAAATTTATTTTATATGAAGTGAAAGTTATATTTTAACGGTATTAACTAAATTTTATTAATTTATATACAAATCAAATTAAGAAAAACATTATGTAATATGAGGAAGTATAATTAGTCAATTGTTTCTACAAAAAAGTTAATGATATTTCCATTAAATATCAAAGTGCAATTTAGGTGGTTGAACAGAAGAAAAAAAAAAAAGAGAATGGAAAGATAAAATAGTTGGATATAGAACCAACATTACTTGTAAAATATCTAAAACATGATTGCGGTTTCAGAACCGTTGATTTCTTCAAAATCATTGGTTCTAACTATAAAATAGTGAAATCGGGAATGAACTGATTTGAAGTGGTTTGAAGACAGTTTTGAAACAATAAAACAAAATAAAAACTATACTAAAATTTATTTTAAACAAATATAATAAAATAAAAAATAACATTGAGATTTTTTTAAAATATCTTTTCGTTTCAAATCAAAATGGTTGATTTTAAACTAAAACCGTAATTTTAATTTAAAAAAAATGAAAAATTAAAAACGAATAATAAATACATAATTTGTATTATTGTTTAGAACTGATATCATTATTTTGATGCCGATTTTAACCATATCGATTTCAACTCAACTCAATTCTAATTTAAACCGATTTGTGATTATCATTATGCAAATCATAATAATTCCGCTTACTCGATATAATTACTCACATTATCTTCTTCTTCCTTTAAAATAAGTAAATAAATAATTGTGTCCTTCACCTTGGCCCTTTAAAAGTAGAAGTAATTTCATAATAATTAAAAATCAACATAGAAAAATCTAAATATTTACTTAAAAAATCTAAAAATCAACATAGAAAAATCTAAATATTTACTTAAAAAATCTAAAATATTTATATATAATAATAATAATAATAATAATAAATCGACCAATGAATGTCGGTCATGAAGAAGCGTATAAACAGTATTCAAAGTGTGGCCCCGGAGCCGGGAAGAAGTCAATGACACGCTTAGTTGAAAATCACAGTTGGTTAAGACAAAATTAAAAAAAAAAAAAAAAATCAGTTATTTATCCTTTCTGCAAAATTCTAAAACACCAAAAGTGGTATCAGACTTCTAAGCCAAAATGGAGGCTGTTGAATATAGTAGAATGGTAAATAATAATCATATATAAAACATTAATAAAAAAAATACGGTTATTGCCTTTTTTTTTACGGACGAGAGACTTCGATGAACTGAAATAACATTATCAAATTGACCATAACATACTTGGTAGAGAGGACTCGAATTCAAGACAATTCTTTATTGACTTTAAAGAGGAGCTTTGATTAACACGAAGGACAGTGCATCAAGCTTTAGAAATACTACCTTCAAACATCTTCAATGTATCCTTGGTATTGCTCAATCCTTACCCTTTTCTTTTTATTTGATTCCATAACCTGTGCATCCACCAACACTTCTTCTTCTTCTTCAACTGAGAAGAGTAAAATTCTCCTCAACTGTGGATCTGCTGAATCTGTATCATTCAATGGAAAAAATTGGACTGGTGATAGAGGCTCAAAGTTTATGCCTCCAGATTATGAGAGATCAACAACAATTTCTGTAGCTTCAAGTCCATTAATTCATGTGCCTAAGATTCCATATTCTACTGCACGCGTATTCCAGTCGCACTTTTCCTATGCTTTCCCCTTTTCTCCCGGCTTCAAATTCATCCGGCTTCACTTTTATCCATCGTCAAGTTACTTCAACGCTCGTTTTTCAGTGGTTTCTGGCCAATACACTCTTTTAAACAACTTCAGCCCTCATATTATGGCTGAGACTTTACAATCGCCTTATTTTACAAAAGATTTTGTTGTTTACTTGAAAGATAACATATTGGATATCTCTTTTATCCCATCATCATCACCCAGAGGAGCTTATGCCTTCGTCAATGGAATAGAAATCTACAACTTTCCATCCAATTTCTCACAAAGATTTTGTTGTTACTGAAAGATTAACATATTGGATTATTCTCTTTATCCATCATCTATTCACCGAGGAGCTTATGCCCTTCGTCATGGAATAGGAAATCTACAACTTTCCATCCAATTTTCAAATTAGCATCCGTCTAGTCGTAAGCCAGCTTCGAGAGTATCTTTCATAGAGTAATTATGCGCCTACACAGGTTTTTATTATCTGAACAATAAAAGAACAGTGGCAATGGATAGATGACTCCCAATTTTATTTTTTTGGTAATTCACTAGAAGGCAGTCTCATTTATGCATATGCAATACGAATCGCACTTTTCCTATGCTTTCCCCTTTTCTCCCGGCTTCAAATTCATCCGGCTTCACTTTTATCCATCGTCAAGTTACTTCAACGCTCGTTTTTCAGTGGTTTCTGGCCAATACACTCTTTTAAACAACTTCAGCCCTCATATTATGGCTGAGACTTTACAATCGCCTTATTTTACAAAAGATTTTGTTGTTTACTTGAAAGATAACATATTGGATATCTCTTTTATCCCATCATCATCACCCAGAGGAGCTTATGCCTTCGTCAATGGAATAGAAATCTACAACTTTCCATCCAATTTCTACAATTATGCATCCGTTAGTCGTAAGCCAGCCTTCGAGATACTTCATAGAGTAATTATGCGTACACCAGGTTTATTATCTGACAATAAAGAACAGTGGCAATGGATAGATGACTCCAGCTTTATTTTTGGTAATTCTACTAGAGGCAGTCTCATTTATGCATATGCAACGATAAAGGTGCTTTGGGGATATATGTCTGAGTATGCTGCACCCACGTTTCTGTACGACTCAGCCCGGACAATGGGCAGTGATGATGCTGTTAACTTGAGCTACAACCTCACATGGAGATTCCTTGTCGAAACGGGTTTCAAATATCTTGTTAGGCTTCATCTTTGTGAGATTTCTTATGACGTAACAGAGGTTAATCAGAGAGTATTTACAGTTTATATTAACAATAGGACGGTGGAGAAAAGTTTGGACGTAATTGCTCTGGCTGGAGCTCCATTAGTTGCAATTTTCAAAGACTATGTGGTTATGGTTCCAAAAGAAGAGACAGGAGAAACGAATCAGAAATTGTGTCTAGCTTTGCATCCAAATTCACAGTCAAAGCCTAAATTTCAGAATGCAATTTTAAATGGAGTTGAGATCATAAAAATCAGTGATGCAAACAACAACCTTGCTTCAAGCATTCAATCAAGAATTGAAAAACCAAACAACAAGATTCGACTCATTATGATAATCATCGGATGCGTTGTAGTTTGTTCTGGTGGGACTTTAATTTTATGTTTCATACTTTACCGGCGGAGAAAAATGAATTCAGATGACCATTCAAAAGTATCAGCTATACCATCAACCTGGCTCTGTTACCAATTTAAATTGTCAGATATCAAACTCGCCACCAACAATTTTAGTGAAGCTCTAGTGATCGGTGAGGGTGGTTTTGGTAAGGTTTACAGAGGTTCAATAAATGGAGGTACCACTCAAGTTGCTATAAAGAGAAAAGGTCCAAAGTCTCAACAAGGGATGCAGGAGTTTCTAACTGAAATTGATTTGCTTCCAACAATTCATCACATGAACTTAGTCTCATTACTTGGTTTTTGCCAAGAACACAATGAACTAATTCTAGTCTACGAGTACATGCCATGTGGCACTCTCCGCGATCATCTATACAAGGGAAGTAACAATCCACCATTGTCATGGAATCAAAGGCTCAAGATTTGCATTGGTGCAGCTCGAGGATTACATTATCTTCATTGCGGAACAAAGAATTCGATTATTCACCGCGACATTAAGTTTTGAAAATTGCAACTAATGGAGCTCCAGCCAGAGCAATTACGTCCAAACTTTTCTCCACCGTCCTATTGTTAATATAAACTGTAAATACTCTCTGATTAACCTCTGTTACGTCATAAGAAATCTCACAAAGATGAAGCCTAACAAGATATTTGAAACCCGTTTCGACAAGGAATCTCCATGTGAGGTTGTAGCTCAAGTTAACAGCATCATCACTGCCCATTGTCCGGGCTGAGTCGTACAGAAACGTGGGTGCAGCATACTCAGACATATATCCCCAAAGCACCTTTATCGTTGCATATGCATAAATGAGACTGCCTCTAGTAGAATTACCAAAAATAAAGCTGGAGTCATCTATCCATTGCCACTGTTCTTTATTGTCAGATAATAAACCTGGTGTACGCATAATTACTCTATGAAGTATCTCGAAGGCTGGCTTACGACTAACGGATGCATAATTGTAGAAATTGGATGGAAAGTTGTAGATTTCTATTCCATTGACGAAGGCATAAGCTCCTCTGGGTGATGATGATGGGATAAAAGAGATATCCAATATGTTATCTTTCAAGTAAACAACAAAATCTTTTGTAAAATAAGGCGATTGTAAAGTCTCAGCCATAATATGAGGGCTGAAGTTGTTTAAAAGAGTGTATTGGCCAGAAACCACTGAAAAACGAGCGTTGAAGTAACTTGACGATGGATAAAAGTGAAGCCGGATGAATTTGAAGCCGGGAGAAAAGGGGAAAGTCTTCTTTCTCTTCTCCTTTCCCATTTTTATTTTTTCTGTGCCTTCTTGTTCTTTCGGCTAGTCTTCTATTTTATGGTTTAAATTTTAAATCAATAATGGAGGATGAAGATGCAATACTCCTACTTATGGAGAATCGATTCAGGAATCTAGAGATCTGCAATCGGCTATGAGGTCTCCAGTAAAGCAAAATAAGAAAGAAAATTATACCATTCCATGTACAAGAAATTATTGATGTCCAGGAAGATCTGAGCAAAAGCATGAGTCGAATGTGAAGCATCTTGAAGGAATTTAAAGATCCGATATTCCATTCGAATGTTTCGATTAGAGACGGTAGCTATGATCCAGAATCCAAAGCAATTCGTGTTCTTCAATTCGTGATGTTGATGTGAAATTCCCAAATAGTAGAAATTACGATATAACGTGGAACAAATCTGGTTTTGTTCAAGAGAAATTAAAACTAGATTTTTTCTGAAACCATATTTATTCTTTGTTCTTGGGAGTACTTTGGGTGATGAGGCAAGTAAGAAAGATATTGGAGATTTATATGGAAAAACATGGTTCCACAGGTGTGCTGATCATCAAATTAGGTGGCAGCATGTGGTTTTGGCGATGCTTAAAGAAGATGAACCGGAGATTTAGACGGGATAGAAGAATATAATTCTCTGTCAGAGAAAGATGAAGGTGCTTGTGAAAATGCCGATATGAAATTCAAGATTAATAAGTGCTCTAATAACACCTTGCTCATGAGTTGAGGCAGGACTAGAATGGGAATGATATGATGGACAAGGGTAAATATTATGGTTTTGCTTGGTTGCGTCTGACAAAATACTTCAAGTGGTCATTACTAAGCATGCATGAGTTTAAATTGCTACTCTTCTCTCATTGCATTCGTGGGAATTGCAGTAAAATGCTTATCAGTTCCACGAACCCAAAGGTCATCCGTGGGAGATGTGCTTCATAGTCTGGCATTGGCGCTACAGGTACAAGAAAATGCGGATTGAAAGAGGAAGTAGAAAATTAAGAGACTATAATTGATATCACTTTTTTTCTTTTTCAATTTTTATTGTTCTATTAAGCCAGATATCCATTCAATAGTGTTTCTGTAATGTCTTGCATAATTTATTCTGATTTTTGGCAGATTCGTCTGTGACAGTTAAATTACTCTAGACAGCAAAGTGATTTTGACAGGATAACTTGTGCTATTAATAAATAATTATTTATTTTTCATATGATGTACTAAGGACATAATAATTAATAATACACTTGTAATATCTAAATGTTTAATGTGATTTTTGTTCTTGTCTTTTTTAGCTCGTGTTGATGCTCTTTTTATTCAAATTCTCACAATTTGTCCACAACACGGAGTTCTGATCATTCTTGAGGCATTGTGAAGTAGAATACGAATTTGCATTTTTTTTTTTTAAGTATCGAGGGAGTCGTATATATACTTACCATTAAATTATGTATTCGTGTGCAGAAATTTACATTTATGAACATGGAATATCAGATTATGTGTTGGTGCACAGGAGTTTGCATTTATGAATGTGGAATATAAGACAATAGTGCATTATTATTATTATTATTATTAATTTTAAGCATGTGCTTTGTTGTTTGTTTTAAATAGATATGGACTTTTGCTTATATGGTACGAGTTTCTAGATTGATTGAATTATTGTTAGAAATATCTCAAGGTGGGAGAAAAAAGGGGTCCAATCCTACGATTTGCTAAATTAGACGACATTTATGGAACTGAATGTCTTGGTAAAAAAAAGGAAACAAATGAAGCCCTCCTTGCCTGAAGTTGTTTTTTTTTTTTTTTTTTTTTTTTTTTTTTTTTTTTAAATATTAGGTAAGAGAATCCCATTTGAATTTATTGTAGGATCATATATTTATATTCTTGCTATTAGGCTATATTTTAATGATAAATTTCTTTTATCTGAAGTTGTTATTCAAAAAGAAAAATACAAAAAATCTATTTTTTTATCTCAATTTATCTTCAAGATACAATTGTCTAAATATATAAATTTATTTAAATTTTCGCACAATTTATCTCAAGCGAATTTGAATTCTAAATTTTTCAAGGCAAATTAAGTACGAATTATAAGTTTATGAAATAAATTGCGTAAAAAAAATCGATTTTATAATTTTTTGTTAAAGAAAAAAATTTTATGAGACAAATTAGGCTTCATTCTGAAAAGGAGATACAAAATTAAATTAAATACAAAATTAAATTAAAATAAATGTAGTCATTAATAATTTATTATCAAAGTGTCAAAATGGTCATTATATAGAAACACATTCGGTTAACACAAAAATTAAACGGGTTAAAATTGAGTCTAAATGAGTTTGTGTCATAAACAGATGACCTATATATGATACAAATTTAAACGGATCGTAACACGGATTGACTCGTCTAATCCGGCTAACCCGTTTATTAAGGATAAAAATTAATTTTATATATGATATGTATATTAAATGGGTTACACAGGTTATACGTAATATACGTTTCGTGTTCTGATACAACCTATTTAATTAAATTTGAAATTTTTGACTAATGTATCATCCATTTATTAAACAAGTTAAACGTGTCATATTTGTGTCACTCATTTAATTTTCGTCTTTAAATACTTAATACGATTATTAAATGAGCCATGTTTATATTAATCCTAATCATGTAATGTGTTAAATGGGTTGGTGTCCAACCCGATGTATCAATCCATTTGACACCCCTGCTTATTATTATATTTGATATCTCATTTTCATCTGTTAGTTGACTTTTGCATGGTAATTAAAGAAATAATTATGTTATTTCACTTAACTATTCCAACGTCAATAATTATTCCTTAATAAAAAGGAAAGTGACAAAAATAAATTCTAGAAAATTGTAGACAATATGTTTAACAAAAATAAAGATAAAAAACTAACAGATAACCATAAATACATTGTTACATAATGTGGAGTATTATAATTCTGACCATTTGAACACAGCCGCAAGAAACACCAGCCCACATGAACTCCGCCCCCGCATCACGAGCAGCAGTTTTCAAAGAAAATGGCAAAATCTTGGATTACGTCCTATGAAGGTTCTATACATAAAATATTATCAAGTCGGCCCATGTGCCTTTCTTACCATGCAATTTATTAAACATGCATAAGAAACAATTTTAGTTTTTCTCTGTTTCTATTTTTGGCTGCATATGGAGATAATGCCATTCTCAAGAGTTTAAATCTTTTATTTTATTCACAGCATAACAATGGAGGTTTGAGCCCTTTAAAAATATATAAGTCCATTGAGTCTCTCTGTTGGTTGAGAAAGAAGAAAGCAGAGGTAAATAAGTTCTGAAGAAGAAGGAGATGGGAAACCTCATAGTTTTTCTTGTTTTCTGTTTTTGTGTGTATTTATTAATATACCTTGTCAAGTTGTTTTACAAAGCATGGTGGATTCCAATTCATTTACAATCTGTTATGAGGTCAAAGGGAATTAGAGGCCCTTCTTATGTATTCCTCCATGGAAATACCAAAGAGATTACACATATGAGAAATACAATCATGAATGGTCCAATGGAATTATCCCATGAAATGCTTCCAAGAATTCAACCTCACATTTATTCATGGATCAAGCTTTATGGTACATGTTGATCATTTTTTGTTTTTTTTTTTTTTTTAATTCTTTTTTCAAATGGATTTCCATTTCTTTAATAAATTTGTTTGCAGGACCAAACTTTCTGAATTGGTATGGCCTTCAAGCTCAACTAGTTGTCACTGAGCCTGAGCTAGTCCAAGAAGTGCTGAATAATAAAGAAGGAGCATATCAAAAAAAGATTATCCAGAATTATGCAGAGAAGCTATTTGGAGATGGACTTGTAGCATCTAAAGGAGAAAAATGGTTGAAAATGAGAAAATTAGCTCATCAAGCTTTCCATGGAGAGAGCTTGAAAGTAAGATTAATTATTTTTTCCTTTCTTTTCTTTTCTTTTCTTTTCTTTTCTTTTTGTTAAAAAGAATTTTAACTTTGTTTTTATTTTTTTCTTCCAGGGTATGGTTCCTGCAATGGTTGCGAGTGTGGAGACCATGCTCGATAGGTGGAGGCAAAATGAAGTGAAAGAAATTGAGATGTTTCAAGAATTTAAAATTTTAACATCAGAAATTATTTCCAAGACTGCTTTTGGAAGCAGTTACTTGGAAGGGAAGAATTTATTCGATATGCTCACAAAAATGGCAACAATTATAGCTAGAAACAATTTTCAAGTCAGAATTCCTGGAATTAAGTACATTTCATCACTTTCCTTTTTTAATATTAATATTAATAAACAATTCAATCAAAAAGGAACATTTAACAAGCACATCTCTATATTTCCTTTTTATATTCTGATTAAAAATTTAGTAAAAGTTTATGTTATGCAGAAAAATCCTGAAAACTCCTGATGATATTGAATCAGAAGAACTTGAACGAGGCATGCGAGAATCGATCCTGATGATGATGAAGACAAGAGAAGAAGGGGTGGTGAAGGGTAAATTGGAAAATTATGGAAGTGATTTTCTTGGATTACTTCTAAAAGTTTATCATGCTAATGATTTGTCCAATAAAATATCAGTACAAGACCTGATTGATGAGTGTAAGACGTTCTATCTTGCTGGACATGAAACAACTGTAAGTTCACTCACCTGGACTATTCTTCTTTTAGCAATCCATCCAATTTGGCAAGATAAAGCAAGGGAAGAGGTTATCAAATTATTCGGCAAGCAGAATCCTGGTTCAGATGGTATTGCAAGATTGAAGATTGTAAGCAAAACAAGACATTTACTGAAACTGGGTTCTGTTAGTTATTGAAGTTAAGACTTCTGAACTATATATTTTCTTCCTTTGTAGATGAGCATGATTGTCAATGAATCCTTACGGTTATACCCCCCAGTTTTCAATATCACAAGGGAAGTTCAAAGAGAGGTCAGATTGGGGAACGTAATAATTCCAGAAAAAATGGCTGTGTGTCTCCCAATTCTTGCAGTTCAACATAACTCAAAAGTATGGGGAGAAGATGTTAACTTGTTCAAACCAGAAAGATTTGCAGATGGAGTTGCCAAAGCTACAAAAAATAATATTGCAGCATTTCTCCCATTCGGTTCAGGGGCTAGAAGTTGCGTTGGTTCGAATTTTGCAACTGCAGAAATAAAGATTGCACTGTCTATGATTCTACAGAATTACAGGTTTACGCTGTCACCTACTTATGTCCACGCTCCAATACATGTCCTTACGATATGCCCACAATATGGACTGCAAATCTTGCTCGAGGCTTTGTAAATCAAAATTTGAGGACTAACATATACTTATAAAGATACGGTCGGAAAACGTTTTAAAGAATCTTAGATTTTATTGATTTGATCCATAGGTAGAGTTATATGGATCCGTTTAGGCAAGTTTTTTTCTAGTCGTAAATTATATGCAATTGAGATGAAGGTGGCAATAAATTGCAAAATATTTGCTTCATAGTATTTGCTTTTGCTTGACTTTTGTGACTTTGGACTAAATTGCAAAAATATTTGCTTCAAGTTAAGTAATTGGAAAGTTTGTAACTCACTGTGCTTAATGTTTAATTACCGTAATGTTTACTAGCCTAAATTAGATAAGAAGTGACTCAAATGTAAACTTAGATTGTGGATAACATTCCTAAAATGGCTAAATATACGATTTGATTATGACAACGTTTCTATTAATTAAATAATAAGCACGTAAGAAAAAACTTTTCTTTTTTTCCATCTACCTAATTATATTTTTAAATCATCAGCTTTCCAGTAATAATGGTCACTGTCTTTTTGACCTCACACCCAAGTACACTTTCTTTTTTCCGTTTTCCGTTTTAAGACATTTATGTTTTGAATGGAGACATTGAAAAATTTCCATAAATAACAAATCAGACACTGTGATCAGAACAAGCAAATATTGAAACGTAAAATTAAAAACAAAAAAAGATAAGACCTGTTGCAATAACGGTGAACAGATGGTGGGGAGCCGAAACAAAAGCCAGCAGTAGAAGGTGCCAGCGGGCAGTACCATGCAAAATTTGAATTTGCCACAAATGTGTTTTGAACTCGTTTTCCTCGTGTGTTCGAGCTGGTTTCTCCGTTGAGTTCATTGGATTTTTTTTTTTTTTTTTTTTTTTTTGAACTCGTTTTCCTCGTGTGTTCGAGTGGTTTTTCCTTCCGTTGAGTTCATCTGGATTTTTTTTTTTTTTTTTTTTTTTTTTTTTTTTTTTTTTGGAATAATTAATGCTGTGTCTCGATATCAATTTAGAGAAAAGAAGATATCAAAGGAAAATAAAGAGAAAATATGAAATAATTTTTCCGCTTGATTTGTTGGATGTGTGAGAGAAAGCGAGTTTATGAATAATGAGATTATAAATTTAATCAACTTTTTTTTTTTTTTATGAAAGTAGAATAAATAGGAGAAAAATTATAATTTTAATTATTCTCCAACTTGTCTCCTAAATTAGAAAGAAAATAGTATATAGGACCTAAAATTTATTTCCTCTTTATAGTTTTTTCATTCCTAAAAACAAAATTTTTTATTTTCCTTTCCAATTTTCATTCCTCTAATATTTTCTACCAATCCAAACATACACTACACTTCCAGAACTAAAGAGCTAGGCTGTATCAAGAAAATCGAGCCATGGCCTTAACATAATCACTTTCCAAAGAGGGATCAATTTTTTATCCAGACCATTAGACGGGAGTGAGAAATTACTCTTTGTAATTACACAAAGAGGAACCAATAAAAAAAAAAAAAAGCTCAAATTAGGATAAGAAGTTTGAGATGCGAGGTACGCTGCCACTTCTTAGAAAAATTTTACATCATTTGCCTTTCTGCTCTTACTTTTTGGTACCATAATTTAGATATCATCGGACAATTTTAACTTTCGGAATAAAACAAAATTAGAAAGTAAGGGGGTTAAAGGGCAGATTTTGCCAAAAAGGCAAGGATAATTTCATTCACTTTAGAAGGTCAATCTATCATTTGGACTGCACAAGTGTAATACCAACTGCTGGAAATCGGACAGCTCCCCCTACCTCATACACCCGTTTAACCCAGATGGTACAAATCAGAACTTCTCGGAGGAGAACATTTTCAGATGATGATTACTTCTGTAACAACAAATGATAACTGCTTTACAAATATGATCTGCCCACCTGGTGAGTGAGACAGCCGAAAAAATGTTACCCACAATATAAACACTTCTAATGGTAGCAGCAGTAGCTACAACAAATTCCCACCAAATTAAATCTAAATCAAAAAATGGTATATTAACCTTCTGTTAGCACTCAGTGACATGAAGTGGATAAAAATTTCTCCTTCATGCGAGAAATAAGCTTAAACTTTTCCTCAGCCTCAACCTGTTGACGAATGTCAATTTTTGATGCGCGATCAGGATGAAACTTCAACAAGGCTCGCTTATAAGCAGCATGCACCTAAAATGGTGACTAACAATCATTAAAAATGAAAACAACACTAGAACAATGCCAGAATCAATCAATATTTCAGTTGCTTGTCTGCTTCCCATGGCTTTTATGACATGAGAACAAAGCATATAATTCTAGGCTAGAACTCCCAGAATAACAGCAGGGGATGATTAGCAGTTTGTTTGTTAGAGCCTAGAGGTCACCAGTATGCTCATAATGAACAGTCACAGGATGTGTTTCCATTATGAGTAGATACAAACAGGATGATGAATTACAATAAAAAGACAGCATAAGAATGTAACTTACCTCATGGGACAAGGGATGGAATCCACCTCCTACTTGGATACCCAAGCCACGAAGTAATGAAGCCATGTCAATGCATGTATTTTCCATTTGGCAAAGCTCCTTCCTCACTTCAGCACGAAGAATCTCCTTTATGTTCAAATTTTCCTCATCCTAAATTTCACATCAGTTAACAAATAAAGAAGCAAGATTAATACTGATTTTAAACGATGTAATATTACAATAATAGAAGAGTATGCAGCATGTATTACTGAATTATACCTTCCTTTGTGTCTCTCTCACTTCTTCAACACGCTGCCTTTGCCGTTTCTCCATGTCTAAAATACGCAAACTTTCAGCTTTTTTTCTCTTCCGCAATCTCTGCGCCTCTTCTGCCTGAAAAAAAAAATTGAACTAAGTTCAAATATTAATTCAGTATGAGCATATCATACCAACAATCATTCAAATTGTTAATGTCTTCCAACAAAATTACATAGACAATCAGTAAGGATATGTTTGGTTAATGGAATGGAATGCAATACATTTCCAGTATAAAAATTACATTAAAATGCATTTAATCACATTGCAAACATAGGATTATGGCATCTTCTTGCAACCTCTATATATACATACACAACAAATTGAGCACTTGCAGATCAAGGAATTAATATCTGCAACAAACCTGAATTTGTAGTTCTCGCTGCCTGGCTGCCCATTCTTCTTCTATGGCTCGCTTGTATGCTTCAGTCTCCTTGAGCTTTTCTCGCTCATTGATAATATCTCCTTGAATAGGAGCAATAGCATCATCAGAAGGAGCATATGATGGATCCTTCCCATTGTAACTTGGAATGTTAGAAGTGGATGTAGTAAGCGGATTTGTTTCTTGTACAGGAAGCAAAGTCCCAGATACTAGTTTATCTTTCTCTTTGGAAGCAATACTTTTAGATTGTTCAAAGCTAGACGCTTCACAGGTTAATTTGCTATCTTTCTCCATGGAGACAACTCTTGTGTGATCATCACTGTGAATTTCACCCTGACTCCAGTAGAAAGAAGCATCTACATCTGGAATAGTAGCACTCTTACAGTTGGATTCTACATTATGCTTTACCTGGGAACTTGGAAAAGAACGCTCTCCAGCCATTTTTTGTTCACTATGCTGAAAACAACTTGTGTCAGGACACTGATTATTTTCCCCTTTATAAATGGACCATGGAGGAGGTCCAGGAGGGCCTTTTCTTTCATTCTGAATTCTAATGCCATATCCATTCCCACTTTGACACTCGTCATAACAAACATCCCGATCTTCCACATATGTCTCTCCTCCAGAGTGAATCCCAGCTTTCCTGCGAAAGCCAGTATTCTCTCTTGACTCTGATTTCCACCAACACGAAAAATTTTCCTTGTTAATATTTTGACGAGATTTTGCAAAAGAATATTCCATCCAGGGATTGAAACCACCATCTGAAAACCCATCTTTAGTAGCTCTAAATTTAGATGAAACTACATCCTGAAAATTTACATTTTCTGAATGGGAGACAGGGGGTTCTGGATTTTGTTTAGTCCTGTTTTCCACACCAACGTTTGTATGAGTATCATTTGTGGAACTGCTGGGACTTGCCTGATCCTCTGGGCCAGAATGGCCCTTATCATAGTTATTTGATTTCCTATTTAAGGAAGCTTTTTCCCACTGATCACGAAGGTCACAGGAAGAACCTTCCATAACTTCAAAATCTGAGGAACTGCTTTCAGATGAATCACTCTCAGAATCAGAATTCAAGCCATAACGATTTCTAGGGGGAGATTTCTTGGTATAAGTTTTCTTGCACTTAGATAATTTGAACGCAGGTCTCTTTTCCAGGACCACTTGGCAATCATCAGCATCCACATCTTCAGATTTCTTCATACAGTCAGTGGCAGGTTTATTTTTGCTTGGAGTCTCACTGTTATCCGAGCCAACACCATTTTTCAAATTAAGTTCAGGATGTTCCACAAAATCACGTTCATCATCGTCATCAATGCTTATAATCCCCTGAATCGGAAATGTTTTGCCTTCTTTAAGCACACTCGAGCCTCTTGACTTTTGCTGTAAAGACTCGGGAATATCAATGATAATAACATTATCAAAACCACTGTCAACATCAATAATAACAACATTGTCGAAATTCCCTCCTATCTGGCAACTTCTCATTCCTTTCTTCCCAGAATGACCTCTAGGCATAGAGTAATTCCTCGAAGCCCCCTCTCCCCTCATTTAATTCTGCTCTGCACACAATAAATATACACATTAAATAAGTATTCTGCTATTCAAAATAGAGCTGACCCAATTAATCAGATGCTAAAAATCCATCAGATCATTAATGTTGAGACTCTTTCCAAAAACCCCAAGTGTTAAAGAGAAACAACTTGCTATCTATGAGAAACATTTCCATACTAAATCCTGTAGTTAGTTAAGATTACCAAAGTGGATACTCAGAAACCACCTGTCTCACCCATTACTCTTAGTAACTATTACGTCTGACAAAAAAAAAAAAAAAAAAAAATAATAAAAAAAAATAATAGTAGCATTCAAGAAAACAAAATTATCTCTATGTCAAGTTTTCTATATTGTAAAAAAAAAAAAAAAAAAAAAAAGTACATTCAAGAAAACAAAATTATGCTCTATATCAAGTTTCTATATTTAAAAACCTAAAAAACCAACTACTAAATTTCAAACTATCCACCAAAATTCCCAAACCAAAATGCATCAAAAGTTCCCCAAAGAAATACCAAATTAGTTGCTCCAATTACAATATCAAGAATCCCCGCGTCGATAGAAGCAAAATTAAACCTTAATTGAATAAAGAATAAATAATTAAGTAAAACCAAACAAAAACCAGATTGAATTCCAAAAAAAAGAAAAAGAATTTGACAGATGAACCAGAGAATTCAAAGGAAAACAAAATTTTAATATAAGAATTAAAAAGGCACAGTTTATGATAATATTTGAACTTGCCTCTGAGTTGGAGAACTGCGCCTGCTGTAGTCGAACCAACAAGCAAAAGAAAGAGAGAAATTGAAACTGACAGATTTTTTTTTTTTTTTCCTTCTGTGCATTAGGGTTTTGAAAATTGAAAGTTGAGGATTTTGGCACGAAAAATCGAAATGAAAGAGGAGACCTTGGACTTTAGGACAAACTCTAAACGGCAAAATGGGACACGTAATCCCGTGGCATGCTTTCCTACGCAAGATATTGGATACTAAGCTACAGGTGGCTGTGAAAAGACTGCATCACAGACGTCTAGAGATACAGAAACGTTTACTTTGATTGGTCGGTGATTGGGTTTTACATTGTGTTCCGTAACGGGTGAAAGAGGATGGAGAGTGGCAGGTGTGAAAGTGAGGAGTAGTGTGAAATTAATGGAAATTACTTCCCTTGATCAATTAAATAATTTTTTAAAAGTATTTAATTATAAAAAATTTTTTTCTCGTTGGTTTATCTAAATAAAATTTTTTCAAAATTAATACCTTAGGTCTCCACATTTTAGGGTGAAAGGTAAATAAATTTTCATATTTATTTATTTATTTGAGTATTAAGAGATTCAAATCTATATTTATTTTTAGATCCTACATATATTTATTTTTAGATCCTACATATATTTATTATTAAACTATATATTTATATGCATTTTTCATATTTATCCTTTTAAATATATACATACAATTAAATTAAAAGAAAAGAAATTAAAGTAATTTTTTGTGGGTTTGGATAATAATGTAATTTTAAAACTTCATAATTTTTTTAAATATGATTTCCAAATAAAACAAAATAGTTTGTTTCGAATCATTTCGCCAAGTGCATTTCCATGATCCTCTCTTTCTCTCTCACTTCCCTACCTAGTGTCTTTTTCCGAAATAACCATGAGTGACAACAAGTGCATTTCCTTGTTCTTTTCTTTTTTCCGTGTTTTCTTTTCGAATGGAAGGTTTTAGATCCCATACAACGAAATTAAATGGAACTGAAAAAATCGAATAAGAATTAAAAGTGAGAACATAAATTTTAATTTTCGAGAAACACATTTACTAGCCAAAAATCTTTATTACGGTCAGAAAGGGACTGTGTACCCGTCCTACTGGGAATTGTAAGAGAATTTGTAGTGCTGTTCTTATAGGATAATGTAAGAGCAACGATGCATATGGCTATGCGAAACAAGAGCTTGTTTTAACATTAATGGAATTAGCCAAGCAAATTATAAGCCATGCTATTACTTTCTCTTTTACGATTTCTAAAACCCACAAAAACCCTTTACCCCTACATCATCAGGAAATGCTTTTCCAAATGGGCTTCAGCAATCGAGAATGCCTCTTCCCCGCACAAAGCTCTCGACCTCTACTCCTCAATGCACCGCAACGCCATCCCTATTGATATCTTCTCTGTTGTCTTTACCCTTAAATCAGGCTCCCGTTTGCAGAATCGCACTGTCATTGATCATTTACATTCGCATACAATCAAACTGGGATTCGTTGCTAATTTCTATGTAGCCAATTCTCTCCTCAATGCGTACGTGGCCACGTCATTTGATAAAGCCTGTATCTTGTTCGATGAAATGCCTGAAAGAAATACTGTTATGTGGAATACTATGATTACTGGGCATTCAAGATCAGGAAATATTGATAAAGCACGCTCCCTTTTTTATGAAATGCCATTGAGGGATGTGTCTTCTTATTCTTCCATGATTGCAGCTTTTTCTAACCATGGGTGTTGGAACGAAGGGTTATTGCTATTTCGAGAAATGATGGCTGGTGGACAGATAAAACCAAACCAAGTAACAATTGGAACAGTTTTATCTTGTTGCATAAACATGGATTCTCTTGGTTTGTTGATAGGGAAATCAGTTCATGGCTTTATTTTAAAGAAAGGGTGGGAACTGAATGTGGTAATTGGTAACATTCTTGTTGATATGTATGCAAAATGTGGATTCTTGAAGAATGCTTTACAGGTTTTCGATTTCATGCAAGAAAGAAATGTCAAGACGTGGACTGCGTTGATATGTGGGGCAGCACAACATGGGTTTAGTCAAGAAGCATTGTCCTTGTTTAAGATGATGCAAGAGGCAGGCATTAGACCTAATGAGCTGACTTTTACAGGTATTCTTAATGCGTGTGTTCATTCGGGGTTGGTTGTTGATATGTGGGGCAGCACAACATGGGTTTAGTCAAGAAGCATTGTCCTTGTTTAAGATGATGCAAGAGGCAGGCATTAGACCTAATGAGCTGACTTTTACAGGTATTCTTAATGCGTGTGTTCATTCGGGGTTGGTTGAAGAAGGTGGAAAGTATTTCAGGATGATTGAAGAGTATGGTTTGGAGGTTAAAATTCAGCATTACGGATGCATGGTTGATTTGTTTGGTAAGGCAGGATTGTTAGAAGAAGCTTTTGAGGTTATTAAGACAATGAAATTTGAGGCTAATATTGTTATATGGGGCTCCTTTTTGTCAGCCTGCAAGGAGCATAAGCAATTCGACCTGGCTGAGAGAGCGATTGAACAAGTCTCGAGGATAATCAAGCCAGAAAATGATGGAGGCATTTATACTCTTATATGTGCTTTATATGCTTCAAATGAGAAATGGGATGATGTAGAAAGGGTTAGGAAATTAATGCTTGACCAAAATGTGAGAAAAGTTGAAGGCTTGAGTTTTATCAGAAAAGGATTATAATAGGAGTCTATTTTCTCTCTCTTCAGGCAACTTCCAAAGGCTAAAGAACTAGTTGCTTGATGATTCTTCAGCTTTTGCCTTCTAATGGTTACTTATCGCTATCTCTGTGGCAAGAATCGCATATTCCCAATTCTGTACAACTTTTAAATCCTCTCTAAATTTGTTGCTACATCTTCTTTCTTTAGCATATGAGAATGAGATCCAAACACATCTAATGATTTTCTTGGGTCTTCTTGGATAGTTTTCTTCTGCTTTTCTTTTTTAATTTTTAAGTTGTGCACTCCAGAGTTTACTGTTGGTAGTACATAATAGTCTTCTGTATTAGAACCAATACTCATTTTTTCAAAACCTGGGCTGCGAAACTCGTCTTTCACTGGATATCTCGGTTGAGATTGTTTTCTTGCCTCCGACATGATAGGATTGTGACAAGTATTAATATTTGTATCAATATAAACCGATTTCTTATCAGAACAAGATCTATTGCAGCCAAAACCAGGAAAGAACCATCTTTCATTTACTTTCTTTTGTCTGCCATAAGATAAGTTTCTCCAGGAACTTGGTAATAAAGCATCTTGGCTGTTCCAACTTGATTCAGAACTCTCACTTGGTGTTCCAATCCTTCCTTTTGTTCTCAACCTGTTGTAATCAACCCGGTTCTCTACGGTCTCATTCACAAACTTGCCTTTATTAGAATTCATGCTTCCTGAAGTTTCATCATCCAGTTTCATGTTGAAGTATTTCTCAGCTCCAAAGACATTAATTTCGCCCTCTTGTGGCTTACTTTTCTCCAAGGAAGTTTCTTGGCTTGAGATTATGTCAGGATGGGGAAACTGCACTGATTCTGTCAGCTTAAGTACAAAATTCTCCTTTGCTGCATTGAGGTAAGAAAATGAAATTTAGTACTACATTGTCCTTTTTTCCCATTGAAAAAACTTTAGAGGAAGTTTCTTATTTCATGAGTAAGAGCCGGGTAATAGTGAATATAATTTTTCACATAAGTTTGAATGTCCTTAAGGCTTTTGAAATTGGTTTTGGGAGGGAAAATGAATTGCTGAGAGGCTACAGGGTATGGTTTACCAGCTTTTATGATTTTGCTATTGCTACTACTAGCCATGGAGATCCATTTCCAAAAGCACAAAGCCTGCCAAATCCTTCCGCAACTAGCCAAATGTATGAAGATCCAGAAAGCGATGCTAGTTCAGACTTGTTCGAGATAGAGAACATTCCCAACAGTACACAGCCAATATTTACTAAACAAATTTCTGATGGTATGTCTTGTTGTATGACACCTAATAGCCGGTATGAGCCTAGTGAGACTAGCATTGAGCGGAGTCTTGTGACAGCCAGTGCAGCTGGTTTTTCTGCAATTTCAGAATATGATGGAAAAAAAGAACTGCACAAAGTAATATTAACTCTGTTGGTTTAACATCAAGGCCTAGACGTCATCACCCGAATAGCCTATTGGGGTGTAAGAGTCAGAAGGCAGTGCAAGTTGCTGAAACTGCATACAAGACTAAACCTCTCTTGAATCCTCAGCACAGAAGGCCATTAGACACATCGATGCAAATAATAGGGAAATTACCCGCTGATTCTAAGGTGAAAGATTATGATTTCCCTTGATTTCTTGCTACTTGCTACTTTTTACCAAGCAAGAGCTCTTCCCTTTAAATTTACAGCTGATTTTAATATTTAAGTTTGAATAATTGCTTTTTTAGCAGGGACTTGTTTATAAATTCTAAGTTTTGGGAAAGTTGAGCCGTAGGGTATCGTTTACAAAATTTTTAGAATAAAAGTAGGTGTAATTCTCATTTGCAAATGAAATGAATTAGTTTAAATTAATTAAGTTGTTAATTAATTTCAGCATATATAATTAAGTTGTAATTATAGTTTTTCTACTATATAAATTTTACTCGAATGGAGAAGAGCAGAAAAGATAACCGCATTTGGAATTGAAATCCACCCCACTGGGAAATGTAAGAGAATTTGAAGTGCTGATCGTACAGTATGATAAGGAAATTAAGCGAGAATGGTCATGGTTATGGCTATGCCTATGCGAAACAAGAGCTTGTTTAAGTTTTAAGTAACTTTAATGGAATTAGCCAACCAAATTATGAGCGATGCTACTGCTTCCTCTTTCACAATTTCTAAAACCCACCAAGAACCCTAATCCCTACGTCATTGGAAAATGCGTTTCCACATGGGCTTCAGCTATCAAGAATGCCTCTTCCCCACACAAAGCCCTCGACCTCTACTCTTCAATGCACCGCAACTCCATCCCTGTTGATAGCTTCTCTATTCTCTTTACCCTTAAATCATGCACCCGTTTGCAGAATCTCACTGTCATTAATCATTTACATTCGCATGTAATCAAATTGGGATTCATTACCCATGTCTATGTAGCCACTTCTCTTCTTAATGCGTATGTGGTCACATCCTTTAGTAATGCATGTCAGTTGTTCGACGAATTGCCTGAAAGAAATACTGTTACGTGGAGCACTATGATTACTGGGTATTCAAGGTCAGGAAACATCAATCAAGCACGTGCCTTTTTTGATGAAATGCCTTTGAGGGATGTAAGTTGTTGGTCTGCCATGATTTCGGCTTATATTAACCACGGGTGTTCGAATAAAGGGTTATTGCTATTTCGAGAAATGATGGCTCGAGGGGAGACAAAACCAGACCAAGTGGCCATTGGAACTGTTTTATCTTGTTGCGTAAACATGGGTTCTCTTGGGTTGTTGATTGGAAAATCACTTCATGGCTTTACAGTAACGAATGGATGGGAGCTCAATGTGGAAATTGGTACAATTCTTGTTGACTTGTATGCAAAATATGGATTCTTGAAGAATGCTTTACAGGTTTTCGATTTCATGCAAGAAAGAAATGTCAAGACGTGGACTGCATTGATATGTGGGGCAGCACAACATGGGTTTAGTCAAGAAGCATTGTCCTTGTTTAAGATGATGCAAGAGGCAGGCATTAGACCTAATGAGCTGACTTTTACAGGTATTCTTAATGCGTGTGTTCATTCGGGGTTGGTTGAAGAAGGTGGAAAGTATTTCAGGATGATTGAAGAGTATGGTTTGGAGGTTAAAATTCAGCATTACGGATGCATGGTTGATTTGTTTGGTAAGGCAGGATTGGAGGTTAAAATTCAGCATTACGGATGCATGGTTGATTTGTTTGGTAAGGCAGGATTATTAGAAGAAGCTTTTGAGGTTATTAAGACAATGAAATTTGAGGCTAATATTGTTATATGGGGCTCCTTTTTGTCAGCCTGCAAAGAGCATAAGCAATTCGACCTGGCTGAGAGAACGATTGATCGAGTCTTGAGGATAATCAAGCCAGAAAATGGAGGCATTTATACTCTTATATGTACTTTATATGCTTTAAACGGGAAATGGGATGATGCAGAAAGGGTTAGGAAATTAATGCTTGACCAGAATGTGAGAAAAGCTAGGGGCTCGAGTTTTATCAGAAAAGGATTATAAAAGGATTCCATCTTACATCTTCCCGGCCCAGTAACTTGCGAAGACTAAGGAACTAGTTGCCTGATGATTCTTAGCTTCTAATGGTTACTTATCGCTTTTCTGTGGTGAGAATCGTAAATTCCCAACTCTCTAAGACTTTCAAACTGTCAAATTTCTTGTGATTCAGGTTATACCCTGTAATGTTTAAACTGATTTGGTTTCTAATAGATATGATTTCTATTGGCATGGATGATTAGTTTTTTGGAATCAATTTCAATGTTCAATGTTCAATGAAAACATATAAACCTTTGATCAAAATATTTCCTTCAGAATCAATTTCAATGTTGTTATTATGTTTTATTTTCTTAAGTGACATGCTGAAAAGTGAAGTTAATTGCGGATGTGTAATTTTAGAAAAAGAGCAAGAAGTTAAAAAAATAAATATACAACAGCACCAACACATTAATGTATACAATTTTCAAGAAAGATGAAACAAGATTCACATATTAATATACAAAAAAGCCAATGGCTATATATAAAAAAACATTCAATGAGAGTTTGCAGTATTCCCTTCTTGAACGTAGGCAGATTGAAGCAAAGAAGGCAAAACCAGAGGAGAAAGCAGAGGGATAGGGTCTTTATTATGGTAGAATGAATTAAAGGAAGACACCGCTGCCATTGACGATGATGAAGTTGCTTGAGAATTTGGCTTAATCTGCAGAGGATATGGAGCTCTGCTTTGCAACCGACTTAAAGGCTTTCTGTATTCAAATTCAGCTTTGTGAATACCAGTTTGGAAGCCAGGAAAATCACCACCAGAATCCTCCATTGTTGTCACTCTTTGATACCTTAAATCTTCTTATGTAAGTACCCTCTGCAGGTTTATCTAAGAAAGAGCTATTTAAGTATTTGATAAAAAAAAATTTTTTTTTAAAATGGTTATGGTAGAACTTACGCAATTTTATGTTATTGCTTCTTGGCATTTGCTGATGTTGAATTGTGGCCCAATCACTTAATGGCACGTCTTGTGCAGATTGTATACTGAGAATCAGCTTATAATTACTTTACCTGCAATAGAATATTTCACAAGCTTAGCTATTCATGTGATGAGATGAGGTTTGCCTCAGTTGCTGTCTCTGCAAGAAACTTCCTTATATAGCTGTCTCTGCAAGAAAACTTCCTTATATAATATATATATTATATTATATATAGTATACTATATATATAATCCTTCATGTGAGGGAACATTTAAAAGCTCAAAGTTTTCAAGTGACAAAGATCCAAAGAGAAACCTTGAAAGCACATGGTCACTTTATAATTTCCCTGTGCGTCCTTTTCTTAATTTATTTTTATTTTTTATTTTTATAAAATCCTAAATTATTTGGAGATAATTGTTCAAGGTTGAATGCAAACTAGCATATAATCCTTCATGTGAGGAACATTTAAAAGCTCAAAGTTTTCAGTGACAAGATTCCAAGAACCTTGAAGCACATGGCACTTTATTAATTTCCCTGTGCGTCCTTTTTCTTTATTTATTTTATTTTTTTATTTTTATAATCTAATTATTTGGAGATAAATGTTCAAGGTTGAATGCCAACCTAGCTCCTCCAATAAACCTTGCTCTAGTGTCACTTAACAGGTCCCTCGTAATCTTATATTATTACAGATTATCCATTGAAGAAGTACTATTCTTTAGTTTCCATGTAGAAGATTGACTGTTGACTAGTCTAAGCTAAATAAGAACTAGAAAAATACTAATGCCGTATACATGTCTATATTTTCTTTTTCTATTTTGGGTTTTTTTTTTTTTTATCTCTGCAAGATTCATGCAAATGGAATCTGAAATTTTTAAATACCTTGTTTTTAGATTTTTACATTAAGTAAATTTTTATTATATTGATTGGACATTGATGGAAATTAAATTTAGACCATAATTATACATTAATTCGGTAAGTTATATAATTATTTGATAGACACTAATATCGATTGTTGTTCATGAAAAATATATTAATACACATTATATACAAGTTGCAAATTAATTTTTTCTTTTCCATATATACAAAATTTGTTTATAAAATATTTAATCCTCCAAAACCACTTAAATAGGACCAAATTGTATTTATAAATTTAATTGGTTTGAATATTTTTCATGATTTGATTTGGTTTGATTTGTTTATAAAAGGTCATATAAATTTTTAATTTGTTCAAATCTTTTAAATCGAACCATAAACACCTTTACAAACTATTACGTGGAGTAAAACATAGTATAATAGTAAAAATACAATGAAACGGTATTTATTAGGTGAAAACAATCACCAAACGGTCAAATATTTGACAAAGGGAACAGACAGACGACACAAGTCCCAGAGAACTGTAGGTAATCGGTGCCATAGAATGAAGCAAGTGCATCTTCTCTTGTTATAATGTTAAACAAAAGGGCTTCTGTTTTTGGCGCACCAATGAATCCTAAAGGTCTTGAAAGTGATGGTTTTTTCAAAAACTGTATTTGTTTCTGTTCCGTAAAAAAGCTGTATTTTATTGAGTGAGTCTATAGCTGATGTGATAGACTGTATCTAATTAAAAATTTCTCTGACAGTCAAACATTAACCAGTGATAGGAGTGCCACGTCCTCTTGGTAGTGATCATAACAATACATTTATATTCAACAAAGGGTGCATATTTTCCAAACTTGTTTCCCTTTGTGGTTTGTTTTCTCCTTTGAAATTTTGTTGGTTTGTATGCTTTTAAGCTTTCACATTCTCTTTTCAAAGAAAAAATTGGTCAAAAGGAAGATTCAAATTGCTTTTTATTGCATTAGAAGGATTCCGGTGGACCATTCCAATGGAGAGAAATAGTATTGCCTTTGATTTTATAATAGTCCATTTCCCACTTTCAACTAGAATCAGACCAAAACAAAACAAATTCAACTTTCAACTCTCTTTTTCTTTTTTTGGCAATAAAGATAAGAAATACTCTGAGAAACTATTCAGTCGTATATTTTGACTTAATGAAATTTATTGTACTTTCAACTTATCTAAATTTAAAGATTAAATTTATCGGAACGAGAAAAATGACTTTTTTTCGTAAAAAAGAGATGGAAACAACATGAGTAACCATAAATTTTAAATAACTCCGTATATCTACTAAAATTTTACGATCTATACTAGTTTCAAACCCATTTAAATATTTATATCCGAATCAGTTTAGAAATTTATTACGGTCTCAAACCATAAGGGATACTTTAAATCGTAGAGTATTCGCAAATTTTAATTCAAATCCAAACTTATTTAAAGCACAAATTAGTTTAATATAACAAGCATATTCATACGTTATAAGTAGAAATTTCACTATTTACATCCGTTATCCATCACTCGTATTAGATCAAAACGAAATGAATATCTTAAAATACATGTCTCGCAACAACTCTTGATACTACTTCCTAACCATTTAGCGCAGATTCAACATTCAAAATTCAATCCAAATAAATAACTCCACAATAAAAAAGTGAAATGCAAAGTTTGAATCATTTAAGATTTGGATATAAATGATTTGGATAACAGATATTTTGTATTATAAGATAAACACAGTCGCACCATTACAAATTAAATAATAATTTAATTCAATATAATTAGTCTATTTAGTCTTTTAACGAAGAGTGCGTGGTAGATAAGCACCAATTAAAAGCCACATACAAATTCTAAAATGAATCATTGAACAAAGAAATAGAACCATTTCACACTATCTTTTTAACAAGTAAACCAGATGGGGCTTTCACTAACCAAACCAATCTCCATCTCTATCAAACAAGTCATTATTACCAACAGATTAGCAGCCACCAAACACCTTTAAATGACCAAAGCATGGAAGAATGTTCCGGTCAAATTTGGTACCCTTCCCCCACCAATAAAATAAGTTAAAGATTCAGTGACATCAACCCAATTGTCCTTTTCCAATTTTCATTTGACCTAAAGTCTTATACATGACATAATACTCACTATTCACTAATCCTAATTACCATTCGATAATCCAAAATTAGAGTCAAACCCAAGCATAATCTCTAGTCTTACAATCAATGATAAACAATTCAAGAATCAATAGGATAATAATTACAAAAAGTAATTGAAACATAGTTGCTAAATAGTTGAGAGAAAACATGAGATTAATTATGTACAAGAGTTGAAACTCAACAGTTGATTTAATGGCTCCAACAAAAGATTGGATCCATTTTAACAAATTGAAGCTTAATCAAAAGGCTAGAGGTAAATTTACAAGCGCTTCTACTTTTCTCCCTATAGCTTTTTCCAAGCTTCTTTGACAAATTTTGCTTTGTTCCTAAACTTTTAAGTCACACATATGCTAAAAAGGCCTGAAATTTCTGGTAGAGTTTATGGCTAAAGGGTTTTAATATACATGGGAAGTGAGCTAAAATCTAATTCAAGAATAGGACCTAACCAATCCAAAGTTGACAAAAGATCTTGACTTGAAAAGACCACCAAAAAGAAATCTAGTGGGTGATTCTTGAGATACTTGTTTTACCTCCTCAGGGTTGCCTTTCACCTTAAGTATGGTCTGGCCAATTACTTGCCGAATGGAATCTATGGTTTTAGCATCCACAGGATATCCTGATGCATCGCGAACATAAAATGTGTTGAGAGCTTTGCCATCTCTTGTTGTCACTTCTGCTCTAGTGACTGTAAGGCTATTTTCTCGAAATATGCGAGTGACATCTGATAGCAGCCCAATTCTGTCTGTAGTGCATAGTTCCAGCTTCAAGCCCTGAATCAGAAAGGGGGAAATAAAGTTTAATCATCTAAAATAATGGAGGAGTACTATAAGGAACAGCTAAACAACAAAAGATATAACATAAGCTTTTGTTTTAAGCATATCTTTTTTCTGTTGATTACATTATTGAGCATGTCTTTCAATGGAGTCCATCCGTACAAGTGAAGTATCACACTCTCAACAAAATCCAGGAATGTCATCCACCAAACAAAAGAGTATATCTAACTAAATATATTTTCTTATAAGTGAATTGACTGTATGACTATTTGGTATCTTGATCAGAAAATAAAAATCAACTCTGATGTATCTTTATGGCCTAACACCAAAATCATCATAAATTTGGACAAAAATTAAACAGCACATAAGCATATATTAGAAAATACATTGTTGCAATAAAAATGCATATAATCCAATTGTTAAATCAAAATAATCCACATTAAGACATAATTAGATGCAAAATTTTTATGAGCTACAATAACAACCACCTGATAATGTGCTTACCTCAGATACTCTTCTCTCAATTGCTGCTTCAAGGCATTGTATCACCCTTTGTCTTTCAGCATCCGATTTAACAGGTGATCCATCTATATGTCTGATATAGTATTCCTGCAAAAGGAATCACAAAAAATTTATATAGGCAATGTAATTATACTCACAGCCAATCACTCAGTATAGAGGAAAAACAAACAAGATGGTGCACCTGATAAGCCTCTGGCCCCTCGGCATCAATATTGGCATGAAAAACAACATACTCCATGTCTGTCAAAGTGCAGACCGTATCAAAAAGAAGTTTTGGCCTATCTTTACTCCTTATGGTTACCACTGAGTAGTCCTTATCATATAAATTAACTACACTCACATTAGGCCTTTGCTTCTCATCCAATACATCATCATCAGCTCTTTCATAATCCCTATCAGCAAACATCATCTGGTGAAGCCTTCTCTCAGTATGAGTGGCCCCATGAGAAACCACAGTCTTAGCCCCTCTAGATTTGTTACTACCCTTAAGTACATTACAAAGAAGTCCCTTAATTCTAGATAACCTTTCTGGATCTGTAATTGCAGACCCAGTTTCCTCATCAGTTACTTGCATAACAGCTGCAGCCCTTGTATTATGTGTCCAGACCTCTGCATTAACCACACTGCATTTTAGGTGGGTGAGGACAGCACTTACTTCAGATAGCAATCCTGGTCTATCACTTCCCGTTAGCTCAATTGCAGTGTGGCCCGTAGATGGTTTAACCCCAACAGATCTCATTGAAGATATAAAGCATGATTCTGGCCCCAAAGACTGAAATATGTAAAATCAAATCATCAGATCTGCTAAAATCCAAAGTAGTAAGTAATTGATCAGATCTGTTTAAATCCAAATGTAGTAAGTGATTGAATTTTTTGAATACAAAATGGAAGGTAAAAAGAACATCAATTAAAAATTTAGAACTGACCTTTCGAATATAATCTAGAATGGCTTCATCAATAATCTTGTTTCCATCTTGATCCCTAACATTGAAAACTGGAAAAACAAAGAAAAAATGTCAAATTAATCTGTACTAAAAAATACATAAAGAAAAATTTAAAAGGAAGACAAAAGGGAAAATTTTTACCATCCATAAACCAACCACCATCAGAAGATATGTAAGCTTTAGTTATTATAAGGTTAAGATCAGTAAGGACTTGTACAACTTCAAGAAGTATTCCATGTTTGTTTGCGCTGTCCACCTGCAGCATAAAATCATTAAGTGCACAAAAAAAGGGTATTTAAAAAATGGTATAGGGCCAAAATTAAGTCCAAAGTACATCCACCAACCCTTACAGAAAGAGGAAAGACATACCCTTATGACAGTAGCATTCTTGCAGGATTCATTATCAATCACAACCCTGAAAAGAAAGGGAAAAAAAAAGTGTAAATCTCAATACAAATTGCTTACTTCAACTTGGAATTGAAGAAATAAGAATTTTGCAGACCTGGGTGGGTTCAATCTTCTAAAGAGTTTCTCGTATTCATCATCCATATCATGAGAAAAGCTCATGTTGACCTCTGTTGAAAGAAAAAATAGATGAGAAAGAGCTATGAGAATAAATTCAGCCAATGAAAAATATAAAAGAAGGTACAGAGAATAACCATGACCAATGAAAAAACAGATACCAAAACTCCGTAACGAGAAAAATAGAGGCAATTATAACGGGATCCTTAAATGAAACGATCTCCAAAAAAAAAACTGGGAAAAGAATTTAAGAGAGGCCCAATACTTCTTTTATTTCAAAAGAAAGAAACAGCGTACCCATAAAGCCATTGAAACCAGAGCAAAAAGCAGGCAGAGAGAGACAGAGAAAGAGAGAGAGGAGAGGGAAAGTTTCAATTAATATCACAGAAACCATAAAACAAACACTAATCAAATCATTGGCCAAAAACCCATAAACTGTAAACAACTACAACTAAAATTAACAACTTAAAAGAATTAACACATCCCAAAATCACTGCCACCCAGTAATAGAAACACAAATCCTGAAAGGAAACAGAGCACAAGAACCAAAGAGGAAATTTTAACACATACCCATTTCAATTCTTGATGATTTGTGATCTCCTAAGCTAAATTTCTCTTGGTTAACTCAATACAGAGGACACACACTATATAGTATATGTGTATACTTATATACAAATAAGAACCGAGCTACCTATATGTATAATCACACACACACGAAAAAAAAAAAAAAAAGAACACACTATATAGTAATATGTGTATACTTATATACAAATAAGAAACCGAGCTTACTCCTATAATGTAAATCAACACACACACGAAAAAAAAAAAAAAAGAAGTAATCCTTAGCAGAGAGATTCTTAGCACTCTTAAAAAAGGAATACAATAATATTTTTTTTATATATATTCGATTGAAAAAAAAAAAAAAAAGAGTATCCTTAGCAGAGAGATCTTAGCACTCTTACAAAAGGAAACAATAATATTTTTTTATATTATATTCGATTATTTACCATAAAAATTTTAAAAAAACCCACCAAATTCTAAAATTTACATTTCTAAATTGAAAATCAGACACCACCCGACACGATACTCCAAAAACCTGCAACTTCAAAATAACAAATACCCAAAATCTATCTCTCTCTCTCCCTCTCTCTCTATGTATATAATTTTCTCTCTCTTGCAGGCTCTGTTTCCTACTTCGGTTTCTCTACAAAATCAGAAATATATTTCAGTACTTCAAGAGAAAGTTCCTAAAACGAGCACGGTGAGAGCCCAGCGTGCATTATACTACATGCGTATTTTAATATCCTTCAATGTAGTAGTGCTAGTGTACGCATGAGAGGGTTACAGGTAAGTCATAGGGATTTAATCTAACCACGTGCTCGTACAAAAGGTAAAAAGGTAATAAATCTCCGAGTTTTGTGGAGATGGACCGTCTTATGGGTCTGGGTTCTGGTCTATGGGTATGGAGTCGGTCAATAGACCCATAGGTATTTATTAGAAAAGTTATTTATTCATAATTACAATTGTTAAAATTCTATTAAATAAATATTATTTATTTTCATATTTTCATAATATTTATCACATTTGAAAAAATAATTTATTTTGAAATACTTGTCACATTTATGGATTCAAAGAGTAATAAATCTTTTTTTATATTTACCTTTATATATGATCAATAATTATTATTTCAATTTAATAATTTTTTTAGAGAATTAGCACTAAATTAAAGATAATATAGTCAATTTACTGAATAATTTATTGTAACTTAATTAAATTTAATGATTTTGTTAAGGTGCGTAAAATTTCAAATGTGACAAATATCATGAAACAGAGACAGTAATAAATTAAAAACTTTACAGTTATTTTTTTTTAAAAAAATACATAAGGATTTAACCATTAATTTGAAAATTCGGTTTTATTTTACCATTAGTTTATTTTGATTTTGTTTTCTGATAATTTTGTATTGCAACCAAAAAATTAATCGATGAGATACCATGTATAATAATTTTACTAATAAAAGTTTTTTCATATGGGTAAAAATAGATACTTGTGAAAAACATTAAGATTGATAAATCAAGAAAATATTTTATTAAAATATTAATTCAAAAATGATAATTAATTTTTTCTATGGCACCTTTCAAAAAAAAAATTTTTTTTAGCTCTTATTAGTTAAATTTTATTTTTTGACAGGTTAAATTTAATCCTATTCCCATCTAGGACTATAAAGGAGAAGTGCTCCGAATAATAATTTTCTTTGTTTACAAAAATCGAGCGTTCAACTTCTTATTTAAATGATTTGAGTTATTTTTGTCAAAATAAGCTAGTTGATCTCTTATTATTATTTTTAAGTAATGGACAAAAGTGTCCTTTAATATTTTACATGTGACATTTTTGTATCACTTGTCCATCCTATGCATAGACGACCTTTAGACTCATCCCAATTAATAAAGTCAATCTTGCTTTTTCAAAAAAATAGAAAATCGATTCCTTAGAATGATTCATTCGTTAAAAAAAATGACATTCTCTATTATATAATAGACAATGAAAAATATGTTATAACTATTACATTTAAATAAACTTTTTGAATTTATTAAATCAAATAAATTATATAATGTTGTTATATTTTAAAATAATCTATATCAATTAACCAATATTTGATATTTAAAAATCATAAACTATAAGTTATCAATCACGTTTTACATATCAGAGTCATCAAATATAAAAAGGTATGAGTCTGACCATTGAACGCAATGTGCTTATTTAGTTTTTCTGATTAATATTTGAATATTTCATGCATATAAATATGAAAGTTTGAATTTATACAAAATATTGAAAATGCTTTCAAAAAAAAAAAAAAGAAATAGGTTATACATGAACTAAAATATCAAATTAACGAAAACTCTTGTAATTCAGAAAATTCAAATTCGAGATCTCTTAGTGAAAAAACCAATCAAACCACACTTATTGACATCATCAACAATATTAAATATTAATGATATTTTAATTTTATATACTTATTCGCATTAAATAAATAGAAACATATTGATGATATTAAATAAATAAGATTCAATCCAGAACCTTAGGATAAATAAAACTAAGTACAAATTTATTAGAGGAAATTATGTCCGACCAATTAAATTTTAAAAGAAAATATACTTATTCTCCCATTAAAAAAAGTACACTAAATGTTACTATATGTAGTCCATAGAATGTACAAATTTATATCTCGATTATTAATGTTCATCTTAATCATTTTAAAATCATTCCCTGTTAAACTTGTTATTTTTTAATTCATCGGAGATTTTTATAACCGAAATAATACTTAACAGTTTTTTAATTCATCGGAGATTTTTATAACCGAAATAATACTTAACAGGGGTAACTTTTTCATTGACTCAGCAAATTTATGAAAACATTTGTAGTAGAAAGGACTCGAACTCAGAATCTCTCACTACTTATTTCCCGTTAAACTTGTTATTTGTTATTATAAGATCGAATTTATATTGCGAAAAATAAATTAAATAAAAATATAAAAAGAGGGACAAAACCGGTTGGTGGATTGTAGGTTAGATAGATCCAATCAGACGTCTTTAATATTTTCATCTAACAAAAATATTATTGCAAGATATCACCTAATCATTAAAATTATTGTGATGCCAACTTAGCTCCTAAACTCTCAATATTTTATTTCAATTATTTCTCTTTTTGTTTTAAAAAAAAAAAAAGTCTATATGGTTGTACTACTCCATTTTGAATTTTTCCAAGTGAAGATATATTACAAAACTTCCTAAATAATAGATGGAGGGACAGAACTCCATCAGACATAGAACCAGTTGCTCGAGCTAGCATATGAAGACATTAATTTGCTTATTGTTTAAAAAAATTAAAGGACAAAGAAGGAAAATCACTAGAGAAGGATTTGCAACCTTGAAGCAAAGAACCAAAATAAGAAAAATCATAGAAATTGAACTAGTATTTCCTCTTATATATAATTATCGAGATCGTCAGCATATTTTTTTTGGCTTTTTTATTGGAGAATATATCAAAGTTATATTATAAACAATTCAAATAAATTACCAATAATTTCAATATAATACTTTTCTCAAGATGTTAATAAATTAGATTTATGTTCAAATTTTTTAAAAAATATATTTTTCGACTGTAAAAAAGCCTTGTAGGATTGTTTTTGAACTTTTATAAACATAATTCTATATATATATTATCAATTTAGTGAAATGAAAAAAAATTAAGACTTAGTTATTATTGTATATATTATGAAAGTTACTATGATCAAGAGCCAAAAATACACATATAGAGTAATAGCTAAGCCAAGTTGATGTGTCCTTACTAAAACCAACCTAAATTATTAAATCTTTAATTTTCATCACCATTTTGGATAGATTATAATTAATATCATCAAAAATTATTATTATTATTTTTTTCGGATCATATTATCCCACTTTTGATTTAAGATAAGATCGTTATTCAATATATAAGACTTCGGCAATTCTCCCCCTCTGAAAAGTGAATTAAACTCGGTCCATTTTATAACACGGTATCATAGCCACCCACAAATTAATTTGTCATTCCAACTTAATTGAATTGGTAACCTTTTTTTTTTTCTTCTTAAAAAAATGCAACGTTAACATTTTTAATGAGCATTTCCTAATATAAAAAAATGTAACTTCTAAAAAAAACCAGCATTTGTTGTTATTACACTGAATGAATAGTACCCTTATCTCCTCTATTAATACGGTATGTATTTGGTGAAAATACGTATAATAATAATAATATATATAATAAAAAAATTTGTGAAAGGCACCGCCATGGGTCTGCAAAATTGCAAGCAAAAACTGGGTGAGTGGGTCAATATTTTGGTGCGCGCGCACACTCGCGTGTCTTACGGTACATGCCGGGTCTCATTTACCTCGCACGTGGTGGTCCGGTCCTCTCTGTCGCCCAAAATTAGGGTTTCTGTATTTTCCTTTTTGGTGAACTAAAACCCAACGCATTCTACTCTTACCCCATTTCCTACTTTGTTGGCTTGAGGAAGATAAGCCGGTTTCATGAACACCAGCCTTTCAGGTTTGGAATTTGGGTCGGCCTAGACTTGGCCAATTCCGAATCAATTGAGATTTTGATTTTGACACGATTGCGATTGGTTGAAAAATTAAAATCGAAAATGGTCTGAAACTCTTTTTTTTCTGAAACCAGCCGGTGTCCAAATTCACTTTTTTTTTTTTTTTGCACCTGGAGAAGAAAAGGCCTACGCAAATTTGTTTGTTGCCTCTCTCAATTATTTCAATGCAAAATTAATCATGAGCTTGTTATTTGGTTTGTCTCTACCCTTTTGAGCAACATTTCAATTCAGACAATATTTATCATCACCTACTTACTTACTACTATTTTCTTTATCCACTTTTATTTGTCAGAATCATATGTAGTTTTTAAAATATCGAAAATTGTTAAATTATAAATTTTCTTTAATTTTAATTAAAAATATAAATTATTTTCTACCTTTTTTCTAAAATGAATCATACATCTCTTTTTTTTTTCTCTCTCTCTTTTAATTTTAGTGGAGTTTTAATGATGAGAGCATTCGAAATTAAAATAATTAGGTGAGACAGAAGTATAGATGACAATTTCAATATTTTGTTGGATACCCACGTGAATTCATCGAAATGAAATGGATAAAATCTAATAATTTATTTAAAAATAGAGCAGTGTGGAT